TATTATATTATACTAAAAAAAGGTCATGGGGGGAGATTTATTCACCATATTCCCTATGTCATGTATTTCCAATGTTTTACGTTATAGTATTTTACAACAATTATTATAGTATTGTGTTATAGATACTTCTTCTGTTTGTGTTAAAACATTTTAATATTTATTTGTTGTTATTATAAACGTAATCAAATAAATAAACACGATAATAATTATACCGAATGCTCCTTATTCAAAAATGTATTAAATAATAGTTTCTTTTCAAAGTCAAATATATTAGGATTAAATGTATAGGACCTATATACAGGTATATTATAGGTACTACATAGATTATATTATTAGATATATCCGGAAATATGAATATAAATTGTTTAAAGTATCAATAAGTACTTTTAATCGTGAATAACACGATACATTAAAGTTTAAAGATATTAAATATTTTAGAGTGCCTCATCTACCTATATTATATTTTGTTCTTATCGTAATCCAATGTATATACAGCCTATTATATCAACCCAAATTTAAGTTATACGTTATAATTGCTTAACATTTTAAACATTAGGATTTAAAACTTACACATTATCAAGTCGATAATAAATTAATATCAACCAAACTTTTATGTTGGATTTACATAAGCAGAGGTATATACTTAATTAAGCATTAAACATAATATTATCTATTTTTATTTTTTATGTATACCAGTTGTACTATAATCTGTTCAATTTTATTTAAAAGTAGAATATAGTATGTGGCATAACAACTATAAAATTTTTTTGAAATTTAAATGCGTGTTATTGCGTTTGCGTTCGTATTATAAAATATGAGTAAAGGTTCTTAAGCTCACAACGCTAAGGTTAATTTTTATAAAAATAAATTAGTATTTTTATAAAAATATTAAGTATTCAAATCAAACAAATATATTATAAGCCACATAGAATTGATTAGCTTATTAATCTTCTTTTATTACAAGTACCCAATTAACTGCTAGGTTTATTATAACTGTGGAAGTTAATAGCAATAGATAATAGCTATAGTTTAGATTAATAATATGGTACCTATTACCTATATTAATTTATTGCAATATAAAATTAGAGATTTAAGATAATTAACTCTTTGAGGGGCAAAAATTTCCTTTAGAAAAAAGACCCATGTGGGCAATATGTCTCTTTACCATAACATTTAGTACATATATCAAAATATTGATAATGATAATAAATGATGAAAAACGCGAGAAATGATTTCAGACCAGCGGCAGTGATATTGTTTGATGCATGTATAAGATGATAATAAGGTGATTGGTATGCTGACCATCATCAAACAAATATTAAAAATAATTTTAAAAGTGGTTAAAATAGTAACCACCGCACCTGAACGGTAAAAAAAAAGTGGTTAGCATACTAACCACGGTTCTCAAAGAGTTAAGGAGGAGGGACTGAGGGAGATTATAACATTATTTACATGACTTTTTCTAGCAAATCAAGAAAACGTTGAAAATAATATTTGTGTTTTTGATAATTTATTTTATTGTAAAATCAATATTTACTATTGGGAAACAAATAGTATTATCATAGAATGTTCCTTATAATTTATTGTACTCTATTTTATTATTATCTAATTATAATTTAAATGTAATAATAATAATAATAATAAAATGTATAGTTTATAATTTATATATAATAATAGTACAAAATTAAAACTTTTCCAAAAACACATTTCTTTCTGCTGTATATGACACACAAATTATTTTAAAATTTCTTCTAATGAGATTTTATGCAGTACAGTCGAGTTTAAATGTAAAATAAGTAAAAGCTTTTATGGCTCATCGTCGAATGCAAATATTATGTTTTTAATCGCCGGAGTCCACGGTAAGTCCGTTCTGGCATTACTAAGGCAGCAGCCAGCTGCAGGTACCTATTATATAATTAAATAAAAACAATATTAGACGCTCTACTTGACTCATTAATCTACGTGCAGTGCCCCCATGATTTTTTCCGTAGAGGGTAGTTTCATCCACTACCACAGTTGTTTCAGCGTCACTCAGTTAGACCACTGAAAAAACAGAGTATACACACTCTATAACTCATTTACTTATATATTACTCAATACCTACCCTATACATATATTTTAATTCTGTTTGTGGGACATGAAATCAGATTGCTGGATCAAAAATTCGTATGGCCTGCAATTTTTAACTCTTGTATTTTGTGTAGAATGTTTATATCATTGCTTGCATTTGAAAAAATGTTACGGTTAAACCATATAGTTTTATGTTATTTACAATTAAAACGTTATCCTAGTTTTCCGTTTATCGTTAAATAGTGTTAATATCTATTAAATTTTAAAATAATAGCTAATGCTTTTAGGTATCTAATGGCCCGGATACGGAATATATAATATTATAATAAATTCTTAGATTGTTTGCGCATGAAATAAATGATTCAACGCCAATAGACCTTTTAAATAAATAGATTTTAAAATATTTTGTTATTTCCGTTCATGATATTCTATAAATTACTTTTTGTGTTATGTTTTTTTTTTAATTATATAATACTATAATATAGGTAGTTAATCGCTATGTTTTGTTTTGCGATATTTAATTATTTTTGATTATCGCTTTCCGTTATTGTAAAGTTTACAAATTTCAATATTTTTTTGTTAAATTTTACGTTATAATAACGTTTGCAACTATTCCAAGCCCTGGTTATATTTATTTTTTAGATTCTTAAGTTACAATATGCACTACTTACTAGGAACTTTGTATTGGATTTGTACCTAAGTCTTAAATATAGAAATTAAACATTTCATAAATTATAACTAAAAAATAATTTGAAAATTTAATGAATTTTTTCAACATTAAGTTTTGAAGTTCAAATGTTCATGAAAAAAACCCTGCTTATGAATCTTTAACATTCTTAAAAGTTATAATAACAAATTATGAGGATTCTCGAATTACATTTCCAAGGTTATCTATATCAGAAAAAAATTTAAACAAAATCGAAAATAACTATACATAGCTCAAAGAGAATCAATATATTTTTTAGAAAAATGTATCATCTGTAGAAAATGTTAATGCAAACATTCTACCGAGAGGGGGGGGGGGAACTCACCATTATTTGGCAGTATAGGTGTAATGTTATTTGTCTAATATTTGGATTCGAGTGGGTACTCATAGTTCATACGAATATCAGAATATAATGTAAGTACATAATATAGTTTCGAATTTTGATTTGGCTATTTCCAGTACATTTTAATTTGATAGATTATATAATAAAAATATCCTATTTGTAACATTTAGATACGATAAAAAAAAAAAATAATAATAATATTATACTAATGCAGCTGTGATGCAAAAGTATGTACCGTATTTTAATTAAAAACTCGTTGCAAAATAATGGAGAAAATGTCAGTTAACAAGACGTACCTATATAAAATAATGTAAGTAGGTAAGTACGTGTTATAAGTCGTAACGTCGTCTACTATAGGTTTCGCAGTGTATGACGAGTACCTATGTGTGTTCCGAGAAGAAAAGTAAATCGTTTTTCGATAAATATAAAAATGATAAAAAATCACGGGATTTATAATTTTTTTGACACGTCTCGTTGAATATTAGTAAGAATAACAATAAATAATAAAAATAATTAATTTACAGAAATGCTTTCGTTGTATTATTTCATGTAAATCATCATGTATATGGTATACCAATATATTATATTACTTTTCGCGAAATTCACGTAATATTCTTGCACGCGTACCGACTCACACTATAATATAGTTAAGACGTACAATAATAGTGCATAAGTACACACGCTCACACACATGCATAAGTGCATCGTAATAATATCATCATCAAAGGACTAATAAGATATAAAAATAATAATATGCAATATAATTCGTTTAAAACAGCATTGGCCGACGCGGCTAGTTTATTATAATAATATAATATGCACCAAAGCTATATATATATACACACTCGCACACACACATGCACACACACACTGACGCAATTCGCACACACACGGTCGCCGCCGTTATGCGCTTAGAATCCGCCCGTGACGTGTTACGGCGCTAGTGTAGACCAATGCCAGCCTGTTGCACCGTCCGTGTGCATGGCACTGCAGTTGCACTAAGTTACCCGTTCTAGTCTCACCGGACACCGCCGCTGCTCGCGAGACGACGCGGACACGCCGCTCTCTTCCATAACCATATTAATATAATATCATTACTATCATTATTAATATAAACGGAAAAAAATAATTTCCATCACTATTTTTTTCATTTTTTTTCTCGATCGATCGGTTCAAATCTCGCGCACGCCGCGTCACCGTACTCTAGATGATGAATATAGGTATATCATGTATATAATTATACAATACGCGTAATATAATATATTATACATAATATAATATATATATATATGCAAGTAAATCGTATAAGCGTAGTAGCAGTATACAACGTGCACGTGCGTACGTAGTATTGTATATGCAATTTTTGAACTTGAACCGTCACCGACCTCAACTGTTACTATCGCACCGTCGTCCATCGGGGGCGACGCGCGCGTACCGATAATACTGCACTCTCACTGCAGGCGGAGAGGTGTACAATATCATAATATATTTTTATCATTATTGTTATTATATTCTCGTTGCGATACGACGTCCGAGTGATTGTTATTACTATCAGCCGTACTATTGCCGCCGTGTACGTGGCGGTCCCGGAAAGGAGCGAGTGAGGACGCCGTGCTGTTCGCGTACAGCCGGCGCCGGACGTACTGAGCGTCGTTCGAGGCTCGCGCGGTACGCCGGGCCGCTAGTGGGGACCCGCCGCACGGGAAATCACGTGGCTCGCTGCCGGCGGAACACGTTTGTGCACAAAATATTCGCGGCGGTGGTGGTGCGTGCGTGAGTGCGTTCCGTGCGTACGCTCGACCGTGTTTTCGCCATCGGTCCGGGCGACATCCGAACCTAATACACGATTATGGTGTTGACGGCGCTGAAGTTGTGTCGCACATGAACGCGACTACTGCATCCGGCCGGAAGCGCACTCGTGCCGCGAGCGACCGCTCCGACGCTGACGGGAACACCGAGACCGACAGAAGCGACATAGGACCGCGCCCACGTGTGTCAGCCCCGTACCCGGAAATGCCGTCCAGCAGACATCACCACCATCATCAGCATCAGCAGCAGCACGTGCAGGTGGTGACATCCACGGCGGCGGCTGCGGCGCAGCTATCCGTCAAGGAGAAGCAGCGGTTGTGCACCAACTGCAAGAACCACGGGCTGCGCAAGGTGTGGAAGAAGCACAAGCGGTACTGCAAGTACCGGGACTGCCCGTGCCTCAAGTGCATGAAGACGGCGGCGACGCGCAAGAACTGCGCCGAGCAGACGGCCAAGCGACGGGCCCGACAGGAGGACGAGCAGCGCGAACAGGAACTCCAGCTGAACCCGGACAACTTCCATGACGAGCGGCCCATACCGTACCAGTCGGACGCCACCACGCCCCAGTCCTGCACCAGACAGAACATGAGCGAGTCCTCGCAGGTCGGTCGGTCGTCCACCCCGAAGGGGACGATGTCACCGCGGACGTCCGATTTCGACGACCACGACAGCTCGTCCATAGACATCGGTGACGGCTGTGACGGTAACGGCGGCGGTAACGGTATGGACGTGGTGAAGGACGAAGGCGTCGACGATCGCAGTAGTCATCTGCCCGGCGGCGTAGGCAAAAAAGACATCGACGCAGGTAAGCAACAGTTATGCGTACACGACTTAATGTGAATATACTGGCCCGACCGCCTTATTGTGGTCATTGTGAAAATAACTTTACTTGGGTTCGCGTATTCATATGATAATAATTAATATTATAATAATATAAGTCTGTTGTGTGAGGTGTGAATGTAAACGGCTGTTGTTTAGAGACGAATTTATAAAATTATGTATTTGTTGTTTATCGTATGGCTATTTATAGAATATCCTCCCCAAAGTGTACAATTTTTTCCGCCCTTAGTAAAAATGTTTTGCCATCCGCGTGACCGATGTTTTTCGTGGTACATTGATAAATTAACTAATCTGAAATTATACGAGTTTTAAATCGTTGTATAATAATCGAGGGAAATGTATGGTGAAGGTGTACTGCGTGGTGGTAATTGACGAATGTATTCTCAAATCATTTTTGTCACTCACTTAACGAAAATTTATGACTTAAAATAGAGACAAATAGTATTTTTACGCATTAAATAGGGGTACGGCGTGACTGAGTGGAAAAGGTGTTGTTAAGCACCTTGACTCTTCAAAGTCTGGACCTACCAGCCGTTTCATATAGTAGGTAGGTACATAAGGAAATCTTCTGCACTTACTCATCACTTGTAATAACAGTTAAATTTTAGGAGAAATTAACTGTTTTGAAGTATAACTGGAGGCTATAAAATAAAAGTACCTATAGACTATAAGTACAAAGACCCAGACAGATCATAAGCTATGTTATATAAGAGTGTTTTATAATTAAAGTTTCCAAGTAATCACTAGTGAAGATGTTAAATTGATATAAGAGGAAATTTGATAGTTTTAAAATAATAATTAAAAAAGCGAATGATTTAGTACCCCTTTATTTATGTGTCTAGAGAGCCACTGCAATGGAAGTGTTAAATTTGAATTCATTATTCAATAATCATTCTATACGAAAAACAATTCTGAGCGAAGACAATCTGTCAGCCTATAATATTACGAAGTTAGTATTACAATAGGTAAAATTCATTTTAGCAAAAAAAATTGCATTTTAAAATGCCATTGTGTATATAAAATATACTATATAATATACTCTAAAAGTTTCATGTACCTACCTACGTTTAATATTTTTAAGTTACAACATAATAACTATAATCGTTGTTCTTGGTTTTAATATTTTATTTCTTGTAAATTTTAACTTTAAATGTCTCTAAAAAATAACTATGTTTATATTATATTGTTTACATTGTTTGGTTACGGTATGAAATATTTGTGAGAATCGTTGATTTAAATTTCCAATCCATACCTATAAAAATTGAACATGTTATCATTTTTTAACTACAAAATAATTTGATATTTTTCGAGATTTTGATACATTTTATAAAAATTTGAACTTTAAATACTTTGAAGAAAAAATCGTGCCCGTGGATCTTTAATATTCGTCAACTTATAAGGAACCTTGAATTACATTTCAAGCTTTTTGACCAAACAAATAAAATGTTATTGACATTTAAAGAATAAAAACTAAACAAATTTTAAGTTTTAAATGTATAATTGAACTCAAAAATAGTCAAAATATTTTTAAGTGGTTATTGTGTATAGAAAATGATAAAATAAACATTTGATGAAAATTTCAAGTACCTACTGTAAATAGTTTTGGAATAACAACAAAATAAGAAAATCGTTGTTAGTATTAAAATGTTAAATCTTAGATACGCCTGCATAGAACAATTTTTATAAATTTCTCACATGTAGGTAATAATTTGCAAGTTTCCGAGATGTTGATGAATTTTGTAAAAATGTTAACTTTAAACGTTTATAAAAAATTATTGTGGGTTTATCCTTAACTTTTATCAATTTAAAATAACTTATGAGAAACGTTGTATTACATTTAAGTTTTTTGACTGTGTGAAAAATTTTTGATCGACAATAATTTAAAAAAAAAAACTAATTTGACTCAACATTTCAAAGCTACACCAAAAACAAACATTGATTTTGTCAAAAACTGATTTTCCGAACTGAATTCCCGCTTTTTCTTAATGTTTTTTTGTTTGCTTTTGAAAACTCTTACCTAATAAATGCTTAAACTAGAGTTACTTACCTACCAGAAAAGATGCTATTGAAGAAAATCGAAGCATTATTACTGTCCCAAACTGTGATGTCAGTCACAAAAAATAAAAAATAAAATAAAACAGACATCATTGTAAAAATAATACATTCATCGCTCCTATAGTCCTATCAGGATCTAATATAAAACTAGTATTTCACCCTATAGTATACTATTCAAATATTTATCTTCTTAATCTAATGTGATTTGATTAATTTTATATGAAGTATAAATAGTTTAATTATATTTTATAACAATTATTGTTTTCAATAGGTTAAATAAAATTTATGATAATTTAATACATTTTAGATAACGTAGTCGTTTACCAAAAACTGTTATTTTCTAACACATCATACCAACAATTTGGGATGTATGCATTATGCATATTACAATATAATATAGAATTTCAATAAATATCGGTAATAATGTTATATCGGTATACTACTGCAAATAAACCGCAATAAATTGTACATGCCACATAGCCCACATTGCACAATATCTATCATAATATCATCAATACATTGTATTATAGTAATAATAATGAGTTATATAATTAAATTGGCCAGTATATATAAATTTAGAATTTGATCGTGGAAAATTTAAAATTTAAAATTTAAAGACCATGTTTTCTAATCTCTGTCACTAATTTTATTATACTGTCAAGAAGTCATACAAATTAAAAGTCATGTATATTTAAAATAGTTGCGCAATAGTTGGAATATAGAATATAGGATCTATACTTATAGAATATAGGTAACTCCAATATTATTATATAATATTATATTATGAATATGTGTACCTACAATGTACATGCATGATGATGATAATTCACATCATGATGTAATTTAATTAATATTTAAAATATTACTGATATATAAAGGTATACTATTTCAAATTTAATATTACAGAAAAATGTATGCAGAAGTTGTTAGAATGAAAATTTAAATCCTAATGGGGCTAATAAGGAGTATGTGTATAGTTTAAGAAATTTCTTTTTATACATAATTTATATAACATACGAAAAATACGAAATATAAGTTATCCATACATTATATTCTAGTAAAATGACTTACATATAAAATTAATATAAACATTATTATAATATAGATTAAACATATTTTTATTAAATTATATTTATTTTTTTGGTGCTATACTTTGATTTATTGAACGGAGCAATGAATTAATTGATTTTACAATGATAACCTATGTGTTCTTATGTTTTTTTTTTAACTTTGAAGTTTCTATGGTAGAAAAGTATAAATCTAGTTTGAATTTATTAAAGTACTGAGCTAAATGTTCAATAATTTTAAAAATAACCAGGAAAAATAAAACAAAATTAATTTCTGTAAAATCTGATTTTGTTTTTTTGTTGTAACTCAAAAATATTATTGTGCAGACTGAGCATTTGAAACTTTTACGCGTATGAATAATATTATATGTCTATGATTGTAATTAAACACAATGACGTTTTGAAAACATTTAGATTAATTTTAAGCTATTGTCCGCTTTTATCACGAATCTATTCACACAGTTCTGCAGCATAGATTGGTATATTGACTCAAAAGTTAATCACAATGTAAACATAAAATTATATAATAAAAGCGACTATTTCAGTTAAAATCAAATCAAACTGCCGTATTACTAATAGTAAATAAATGACTATACAGTAGCAATACAAATATAATATAGTAAAAATATATACTTACCTAGTACTATAATAGGCTGACGCCTGACAGACAGTATGCTCAGAATAGTTTTTCGTATACAACGATTTATAATATTGAATTCAAATTTAACACATCCATTACAGAGACCTACTCAATGACGATACATAAACTCGACTCCAACTACTGTGATTATACCTACTTGCATAATTTGTTTCACTAATACTTTTACTATGTTTGTATTCTACAATTATTTTTGAAGTGACCCAACTAAAGGCCCTCAAATCGCACATATAATACAATACGGTAAAACCATGCATTTTATGAGGTAGTTTTTGTACACACAATACATTACAATATTGTTGTGCAAATATATAAAAACAAACGATAACAGAAAAATACTCAGTATTCTTATTCCAATTTATTTTTCAAACTCTTTGCACAATAATAAAATTGCTTACAGAGTGAAATTTGATACATTATATATTGTTTAAGATGAAATGATTATTAAAAATTCATAAATATTAATTAAAAAATTAATTTTTAGTTAGTTTTTAGCTCTTATAATATTGTTGGTAAATATTCTGAGTGGTGAATGCTGTTCGGAAATAAGCGGAAAAGTAACTTTTAATGTAGACTGTTGTCAAATTGTATATGACGTGATCATTTGCGATTTTTATCGGGGTGACGGCAAAGTTGGAAACAGAAGAGGAAATAATGAGAGTGACAGAGAGAGAGGCACATATACATGTGTTGGCTATTTATACTTACACATGGTCGTATACAGAATGCTGCAGTGATTCTGTTCCATGGTCAAAATTATAAAAGTATCTTACGAAAAAAATTATGGTGCAACGTTTTTTTACAATCACCTAAGTCCTACACTACGTCACGATTTGAACTAGTCTGAAAATCCACTATGATAGCTTCCTCTATTTTTGTTTAAAATTAATCTACGTTTCTCATTCGATCATATCAAGATTATTCTCAATCGAGTTTATTATAAGGCATGTGCTAATATGTAAAATAATAATTATAATCTTGAAGTGAAATGAAATAGTTAAGATAAATAACTAATTGGCCAAACATCAAATTTAAGGCCCGGAAGTAAACAGACAACAACATCCCTTTTTATATAAACAACTTACAGACTTCCGTAATGACGACTTAAAAAAACCCCTCTTTGTCTTTTGTCTGAAAAAGTTCTCTTCATTATTAATTCATTAATAATATTTAACAGAAAAAAAATTTAATATTTTAGTTTTTTAGCAGAGGATTGATGT